TAGATATGAGATCTGATGGGTTTTCTTCAGAAGCGATATGATGCCACTGTGCTATTTCAGTCAGATCCTGTATCTTTGAAATCCGGTTTGCAACAAATGTCTTGAGCAGATGTGTGGCTCTTTGTTGATCCATGACAGCACAATCATAGAATCGGTCCAAAGGGTGAATAGCAGTAAGCTCCAATTTTAACGATGATTTCACTCGATGCATTAGTTTAGCTAATAGCACTGCTGCACAAAGCTCAAGTCTTGGGATTGTAGTCTTCTTTAGGGGGAGACACGCGATTTACTGCACACCAACCTCACTGATGTATGGTTTGTTGCTGATGTTGCTTTACAGTAGATAACTGCTCCATAGGCGGCCTCTGAGGCATCACAGAAACCATGTAATTCAATCTTGATTCTATCTGGTAATAAAATACATCTATGGACTTCAATGTTGTTAATTAGCTGCAAGGTAGTGGAGAATTCTTTCCATTCTTTAGCCTCCTTTTCTGGCAAAACATCATTCCAGTTCAATTTTAACAGCCATAATTTCTGCATAAATATTTTTGCTACAATTATAACTGGAGAAACTATACCCAATGGGTCAAAGATGCGAGATATGACGGATAACACTTGCCGTTTCGTAACCTTTACGTTGTCTTCGATTTTAACGTTGAAGCTCAAACAATCTCCTTTTTGACTTCCATAAAATACCCAATGCTTTAGATTCTTCTGATTTACCAAAGGGATATGTTTTGTCGTTTGTTTGACACAGTTCAGTAGCATTACTACACCACTTATGGAGTAACATACCTCCACTCTTCAAAATGCCTATTAACTGATTTTGAAGTTCTAACGCAGAACTTAGCGACTCAGCTCCAGATAGAATATCGTCCATGTACATGTCTTCTCTCAGTACAGGTGCTGCTAAAGGAAATTTATCTCCTTCGTCCTTTGACAGCTGTACAAGTGTTCTCATTGCTAAAAATGGTGCACTGTTTTTAACTGGCTTATCAATGCCTTCTTTCCATAAAATCCTTTGCAACTTCCACTGATCTGGATGGATAGAAATAGCTCGATACATCTTTTGTATATCAGCAGTGAAAGCAAAAATATATTTCCTGAATCTCAGCATAATTGAGAATAAATCATCTTGTATCACACCTCCATTATACTGTATAGAATTTAGAGAGTTTCCTTTGGTTGTCAAAGAAGAAGCGTTAAATACTACCCTCAAGGGAGTCGACTTACTTTTCTCTTCTCCCCTATATACTCCAATATGAGGAATGTAATATGAACCTCGTTCCTCCTCCTCGCTTTCACTCACCTCAACCATATGTCCTAACTGTTGATATTCTTTTAAAAAAATCTGAATATAATTTTAAATATTCGGGATTCTTTACTAAGCGTTTCCATAAAGGAATTTAATTTACTCGTTGCAATTTGTTTAGAACTTCCTAAAGTGTCCGGATCCTCCTTTAATGGCATTTTAACAACGTACCTACCGGTTTTATCTCGTGTATAATTTTCTACGAAATGTTTCTCACAAATTAAAATTCTTTGTTTTTGGGTTTATCAGTTTCAATATTTTCTAATTCCCAAAATTTTCTAAGAGTTTTTATCTAAGTTGTCTTCTTCCTTTATCAACCCACAATGAACCCTGTTTTCAGTCTCTGTTGGAATACTTCCAGACACGATAAAACCAAAAACTGTATCTTGAAAAATAAGATCAGGATTATTCATTCGAATTTGACTCGGTTTCAAAAGTTCATAAAAAACTCCCGCTCCCAACAACATATCTACCCTTTCTGGAACATTAAATCCTTCATCTGCTAATTTTAAATTAGGAAGATCTTGCACTGAAATTTTAATTTTGCGCGAAGGTGTTAAATCAGCAGTTATTTTTGGAATTACTAAAAAGTCCAAATTCTTTATAAAAGTTCCTTCTTTATTGCATATCGAAGCATTAATTTTATGCTTTATTGTTAAAGTAGCATCATTTATTCCCGAAACGGAAATGTTTGTTTTTTCTTTCTCTAACTCTAACTGCAAATGCTCAATAAGATTCCGTGTCAAAAAGTTCGACATACTGCTGCCCCGTCCAGCAGACACTTCACTCTGTGTTTTTTCCTCCTCGTTATCAATTAGAAAACATACGACTGTTGAAAGCAGAACTGTACTCTGTTTATTCGAATAATTGCTAATAAATGCCTTTTGAACGAACTCCTGCGCATTAACATTCAAGGTCGATGAGTCATCTCGTTTGGGAATGTTGCAGTCAGATACATTTGTTTTGTTTTTATTTTGTTCCGATGAAGAACATTCTTTCTCCTTTACGATATTATTTGCTTTCGGAAAGTGAATAGTTTTGTGGTGCCGTTTTTGACAAAAACAAGAATATTTCGATGGGCAATTTGATACTGAATGCATATGTAGACAGTTAAAACATAATTTATTAGATTTCACAACCTGTACTCTTTCTTGTACCGGTAATTTTAAATACGATGGGCATTTTGCCAATCCGTGATTCTCGTGGCATAAAATACAGTTCTCTGTTTTAACATCTGATAAAAACACTTTAGCTACACTTTTTGAGCTATTATACTTACGATTAACATGAGAATTCTCAGTAAGAGGTTTTCCTCGTGACGTGAAATATAAATCTATTTCTTTACCTAACTCACTAGGTGAAAACCATGAATCACCTTGCCTCACTGCAATGTGAGAAGCTGTTCCCGTATCTAAAGATTGGTATAACCTATCTGAAACTATTAGTTGTTTGAGGGTCTCGAAGTCAGTTACATTCCTTAATTTTAAATAATAATAATCCCAAGTAGTTACTAAGCGTGAAGCAAACTGCACATGAGTTTCATGTGGTTGTTTAACAGTTTTTCTAAAGTTTTCTAAACACGAATATGGTGTTGGCTGAAACTCCTTCAGAACTACTTCTTTTACTTTTTCATAATTCGCGATATCCTTATCATGTAAATAGGTTATTATATTCGAAGCTTTGTCTCCTAACAGATTTAACAGAATTTCTGCTTTATAGTCCTCCGAAACATTTTTTGTAATAAACGCTCGTTCTAATGACGAAAAGAAAAATCCCCAACTCTCAGGCCGTATAGGAATTTTTACAGTTAAGGTTCTGATACTTTTTATTAATTGATCTAGTGACTCTGATTTTGTTTCGGTTTCGCTTACACCATCAAGTTTAGTTTCTTTCTGCTTTAAGCTTAGCCAACTCTAACTCATTCTTTGATCTCTGATTCAAGTTTTTATTTTTTCTAACTCGACAAGTTTTTGCTCTTTTTGCTCTTCCTGTTTTCTATTTTCGATAATAGAGTTTGCTATCTCTTTTACTAAATCTTGTTTAGTTTTAAAAATTTCACTATTCTCAATAATATCAGTCAAATCTGCTATAGTCATTTTTTCGTCAACATTTAGATTTATTTCTAAGGCAAGCCTTAAATCTTCTTTTTTAGCACCCTTAAATAACATTGTTATTTATAACAGAACAAGCACAGAATGCACAGTATTAACAAGAGAGGAATCACTTACCTCTGCAGTGATTCACTTCTGATGAATATCCTTATTCAAAATCAGTGATATTCGTTGAAAAGAACAAGCTGGGAATACTGGCAAACACAAACACTCCTGCGTTCTCAAAAATGAAACACTATTTATTCAGGCGCAAAACTCACACTCCGGCTCGATGAACCAGATATGTTTGGTTCTCATACCAAATAACACACACTATAATAAACTCACTGGTTCGGTTCTTTATTAATTCTCATAATTAATTACAGTCACTCATTATTAACTCATAGCTGTGAACAGCCTTCTTACACTGTCGATGGCGATTCTCAAACTCGTCTGATCATAACATTGTGTGTGTGTGTGTTACCTGTCGGTTTTTGATTGAGATATAAAGCACAATTGCTGGAAATTGTACAGAAATTAGTTAATGCTAGCTGAATAACTGGATTCCTAGGATTATATTCATTGCAATGAATTAAACTGCCTGAATAGCATTCATTATAGGTTTACTGTGAAATCTCTGAGAAGAGTGTGGTAGCTTGTACAGAAGCTTTGGGCTCTTGGCATAAGATGGCAGGACTGTGCTTTTGTTACTTAAAGTCTCACAAATGTGCTAGAATTAACACCACTTATTGACCATAAAAAAATCACTTAATTTTATAAATAAGTAAATTATGGTAATGGACTCCTACAGTGTGACAATTATGGGTGAGCAATGATTTGAGATCAAACTTCTAACAAGCGCAAAATATTTTTGTAAAGAGACTAGCTGAAGAGTCCTTTTTAGCACCTGAAGCTCTATGTGTTTTGATATTTGGCTGAATTCCATACATATGTATATTTATTATTGTTATGTAGACTGTAAATCAGGCATGCCAAATCTGCAGATGAGTTAGCTGTGATTGATCTACCTACTGCAAGAGTTTGTAATATATTTTTATATGTTTTGTGGTAATGAAAATTCAGATAGAGAGATATCTGCTAAAATTTTATGAATTCATGACTTATTTAATCTATTAAGTATTTTCACATGACATGTCAGGTACTTTTTCAAATTACAACGGATCTTCAGAAACATTTTTCTAATATGTGTTGGAAAAATGTTCACATGTAAATAGATTCATGGAGCTCAAACTAATGTTTTTGAAGAAATAGTTTATAATTTTTTTTTTTTTTTTTAATTTTACTTTACTTACTTATTGTACATTCTTACATGACTAATTTATTTCTTATGTAGTTCAGTTTGTTTTGAAATTTAAGAAATCTTATTTAATGTTTAGTTTTTGTTATCTAGACTTTTGTGGTATTTTTATTTATAAAGAATTGTTTCCTTTTGTAATATTCTTTCTTAAATTTTTTAAAAATCGATGGAGAAATTAACTTTCAAAGCTGTTTTAATTCATTTTAATTTATATGTCATTTTATAGAAAATTGTTACATGAAAATTCATATTTGGAGATAAAATATAATTATTGCAGGCACAAATGAAAATTTCCAGTTGCCACCAATACTTGCCACTACAGAAAGAAAGCCATTCTCGCTTCAGAGGCCTAAAACTGAAGGCATGAGTTTGGAACAAACTGAATTTCCTAAACTTAATAGCATACTTTCAGTTTCTCCCAAAGTTTTGCAGCAACGGAAAGATTATGGAAATGGGTAAAAAATATCTATTGGATCATCAAAATGACTTTTTTTTTTTTTTTTTTTTTTTTTTTTGTTTGGCTAAAACTCAAAATGTTGTCTAACATTTAAGATAGAAGCCTAAGATGGCATTAATACATGAATATCATAAAATGTACATTGACAGAAAAAAAAATTGCCAACACCAAGAAAGACTTGTGTTAGATGAAAAAAAATTGTCTGTTTATACATCTGTTTATACATTGAAAAAAAAAATCTGTTTATACATTTGAAAGATGACATCGATTCAAATTTCGCGCTTTGAGCATAAGTGTGGCGCTAGTAGCGCCACTCAGAACGTGCAAATCAGGTTTTCTTTAAATGTGTGCTGTAAAGTTCATGAATGTTATTTATCTTTGAAATTTGATGTATTGAGTTGATATTAGCCAAGAATGCCTTTAAAAAGATGAAGAAGCCATTATCAACAGCTCACCGAGTTTGAATGAGGTTATGAAGGTGGATTTTCATTCCTTAAAATTGCAGAAAGATGTGGCCGGAATGTATCCACTGTGCATGATTGTTGGAAGCAGTGGTCAAATGAAGGTATTGCTTCAAGAAGACCGGCCAGCCACGTGGAACTACCTAGAGGGAGGACCGCCGTATTTGGTGTACAGCTGTAGCGCATCGTATTGCGTCTGCGCCAGAAATTTGAGCTGCAGTTGGAACCACAGTAACACAATGAACTGTTACAAATTGGTTACTTCAATAAAAGCTCCGAGCCAGGTGCCCTGTAGTGTGCTTTCCACTGACTTCAAGCCATTTAAGTTTGGGACTCCAGTGGTGTCAAACCAGAGCTCATTGGAGGACGGAGTGGAGATCTGTTGTGTTTTCTTATGAAAGCAGGTTCTGGTGATAGCCGTGTGTTGGTCAGAAGGAGGCCAGGGGGACGCCTGCAACCAAACTGTCTGTGGCGTAGACACACTGGACCTACACCTGTAATCATGGTCTGGACAGCAATTTCCTATGACAGAAGGAGTACTTTCATAGTTATCCCAAACACACTGACTGCAAATTTGCATGTCAGTCTGGTAATTCAACCTGTAGTGCTGCCATTCATGAACAGCATCAAGGGGGAGTTTTCCAACAGGATAATGCTCGTCCTTATACCGCTGTTGTAACACAACATGCTGTACAGAGTGTCGACATGTTACCTTGGTCTGCGAGATCACCAGATTTGTCTCCAATTGAGCACGTATGGGATATTATTGGACAACTCCAGCATCATCCACAGCCAGTACTGACTGTCCCAGTATTGACAGAACAAGTACAACAAGCATGGAACAACAAGTACAACAAGCTGTATGATGCATGCATGTTTGCAGGCTTGCATTCAAAATTCTGGAGGTTACACAAGCTATTAATGTAACGGTATTTCACATTTGAAATGCATTTTCATGAGCTTAACCTGTGATCTTGAAAATTTAATCAATTAAACAGAATGTTAACTAGAGTTAACTAGCATTGTCCAAATTTCATTACTCTACAATAATTTTTCCATATTATTGGGATTTTTTCCCCGTCAGTGTATTAACTTTTTATTGGATTTTTTTTTTAATTCGAAAACATACAGACTCTTTGTGCATCACAAATGTACAACACGGATCTTACAGAAGTAAGTTAACAAAAACATTGAAAGCTACATGCATAAATAAAACAAACAAAAGCAGAAACAACAGTCTGGACTTCATGAAAACATATAAGTTCACTGACCAAGTCACTTTTCAAATCCTTCTGCAAGCATAATCTAGGGCCATCAAATGTAGGGCATGAGAAAATCAAATGCTCCACATCCTGAGGTTCTCTTTTTGAACATTCACATAAATTGTTTGATCTCAGACTAAAACAAAACAGGTAATTTGCAAATTTACCGGGGTCAGTTAAAAACTGTGAAACTTTAAAATTAATTGAGAGGAATGACCTGGAAGCAGTCTATGGTAAATAGAAGGAAAAAACATTTTGGTGACCTCAGCATTGCAAGATGAAATATATTCCTCATTCTACTTAGCTAAAAGCTTCTTATAATGAAAGGACTTCCATGTTTAAAAAATATTTTAAAAAAGATTTATAGGAAGAACGTTGGAAAGAAAACAGTAGTTCAAGTGAAGTTGCATGGAGCAAAAATATAATTGCCAGTTACATTATATAGGTCATCATGAATATTTTTGTATATTGATCTCCCATAGTGAAATGTTGCATGGGAAATAACAGCAGCTATATAACTTCACATAAATAAGTATGGTTCGCATGTACATGGGCAACTTAGGTGTTGCTGACAGTAAGTCCTGTCCCTGTTAAGCTCATCATGTTTCATGTCAAAAAAGCTGTGTTAAGAAACTTTTCACAATATCGTCTTACCCACACAATACTTTAAATTTCTTCTTCATCTTTTTTGTTCTTGTTGTTGTACGTGTAGGAGAGGGAGGGGAGAAGCTAAAAATTAATTTTTGCTTTGCAATTGATAATATATGTGACTTTTAGTTAGGTTATAGGTCTGAAATTAAAGCTAATTTTATACTTAAATATTATAAGATGAGCAAGAAATATTCCTTTTAATAATATTTAAAGATAGTCCAAATTTAATATGTATTATGAAAAAACATTGACAGTTATTTATTTATTTAAAAAGTTAAAATATTGAGTGTTAAATTTTCATTTATCATAGTAGATTTTCAGCATTTTTCACATTTGGAACATCTTTAGTGGAGTTGTGGAAAAATTTTGGTTTATTGCATAATAATACTATGTATTTATCATTCACACAGTTTGCTAAGTAATTGGTCATCTAAAGAGTTGTGTGTTTCCCCCCCCCCAAATTGAAGCATTTTTCCTATATTATTTTGTTACTGTTAATATGGAGTGATCTTGATTGAAGCAGATGTTTAAATATGGTCTTTTCTGCTCTCATTGCATAATTCTATTATGTGTTGTGGTATAATTTTTGTTTCAGTCCAGTGCTAAGAATGGAAAACCCAAAAGTTCATTTTCATCATATTATGCTCTTTTAGTTTAAAAAAATGAAAAATGCTAGTCATACTGCTCAAACTTGTGCTAAAAATTAAAAAAGTGCTGTTTTCAAAGACATTTAAAGGTGGTTTTAGAAGTTTAAGTTTTGAAATTTCAACTTCGAAGATGATGCCTACTCTGGACAATAATTCCTTGTAAAAAGACCTATTAAGAGAAGCTTTTGCTGAAAATCTAAGTTATGTAGCTCAGGAGCTGCCAGGGAGAATAAATATTCTAAAAAGTATAGTACATGATCATTTGAAGAAGAATGGGTATATATGGACACCCACATTTTAACAGAATGGAATATGGAATATGTTTGTTTGAGTTTTGGCATGTGATTTTTTATATTAAAGACGGGAAACCTTTTTTGAAATGGCTTATTACTGGAGATAAAAAGTGGATACTGTACAACAGGCAACCTTTTAGTCCTCGAGGGCAAAAAATATAATTTTAAATTCTTAGCTGATGCCACCCATTCAAGTTTCATAATCAAACATCATATTGCAAACTAGTTTTGTCTAAAATATGTATAACTTTATTGAATTAAATAACAAATATTTATAATTTATACTCTTTAAACAATTTTTTTGCTATGTCAGTGTCAAATTTGTGTTTGTAATTCATCTACTAACTTTTTATAATCAAAAGTATCATTTCAGTTGCATGCTCTTAAACAATTATCTAAGTGCTAATCGGTAAGTTTTGGATACTGATTTCTGTTTACCAAGCTCCAAAATATCTTATTAGATTCGTTATATTTTCACCCTTTTACAAGCTTAATATTTCGAAGTTTTCCATGTTATTAAGGTGAAAATAGTTAAAATTTGCTGTAGCCATGTTTTCTCCATCTGTAATATTAAAGGGATTTATAAAGAATTTTGAAATAGGCTCTAAATTTTAAAAATTAACAAATTAATAGAATTAAATTCAATTTGAAATGCAGACACAGTTTGAAGATATGAGTCTGTATTAATATTTCTTTCTGACTTTTTAAATTGTTGCCACCAAATATTAGAGCCCTGTATCAGATTTAAAGAAATTAAATAATGAAGAATCTGCATAAATATATGTATGTTTCTCTCATTGTGATAAAACAACTGTACCTAAAGCTATTCAAAAATATATGTCTCCAGCTGAATATGGGCATCTGGAAGCCCAAATTTGGAAGTTGTTTTATTATCTATTCATATTTTGTAAAGCATTTATAAGTTTTTAATTAAGAAACAACGATTTCAAAGTGAACAATTGGCAACACTATACGGGAAAAAAATATTTTTTTAAATCTCGAGTGCGCGAGACTGTTGTATCAAAAATTCTAAAGATATGCTCTTTTTTTAATTATTTTGTGATATTGCTGTTGAATTGAATTTTATGGTTTAAGTGCAAAGAACATGATATTTAATAAATAAAGGTAACACACAAAATGCTAACAAAAAGACCTTTTGGGTGTAATATGAAATCTCAAATCTTTCAGATTTTTTTTTAAATTAGTTTCATTTTTTGAGAAAAGAAATGCAGGAAATTCGATAAAAATATTGGAACTTAGCTAGATTCCATTATCATTTATATATAGTGTCTCACAAAAATGACCGGGTATTATATATATACAAAATGTATTTTTTATATTAGAGATATGCGTTAACAGTTTTCTTAAGAGATGAGACCTATACAATTCTAACACTGTCTTGAAGCTATTGGTAGTGTGGATTATATCAGCAAAGTGATTATTCCTGCCCTGTAATTTCAAATTTAGCTTATTAAATTCCAATGTTAAATCGGTCAAAAAAGCTAAATTTGTCAATCAGTTTTTGTCTTTCAGCTGTTCTTAGCGTTTTCCTTGGGATGCTAGAATCTCTTTTATTTGTCATAACAAACTGATAAATCGCTGAAGCATATGTCCCTTGCTCTGTCAATGAACCTCAGTGTGCAAAAGAAGATCGGTAAATTGTTTAACTTCATCATTTTCTAAAGCAGTTTAAATAGTGTATGTTGCAATTCACTTGTCTTCGTTATTGAGTTAATTATTTTTGTAACAACAGCGATTACCTCTTGGAATTCAATGATTTTTGCACAAAATGGTTGCTGGTGTATAATGCAGTGATATGCAATAATTTTAATGAAAAAAGAATTGTTTTGACATAAAGCAATGAATCCGATATTCTTCTGTGTCATGGCTTATGCTGCATGCTCTTTAAGCAGTAGAATTTTTAGAAACTCTTCTTTTATGGTAAAATCATCAACGTCCATATTGACTGGTATTGCCAGTTGTTCTGTAACTTTCAAATCATCCAGGTGTAAAGGGGAAAGAAAATGCAGATTTGTTCATATCTTTTATCAATTGGGTGTCAAAGTGCCCTGTGATTGTCTCAGTTCTCCTTGTAACAGTTTTAGCTGTCAACTGCATGGCATTTATGGCCGAGACAATTTCTTTTTTATTTTAAAATCTACAAAAGTACGTCTGCAGATTCCAATATTGCTTCTTTTATTATTGCTCAGTCCCTATACTCTATATGGCTTTTTTTTCTTACCAAGTATATGCGAAAATTTAATCGACATGATTGTTGTGTCCTTTAATGTTTCCAACAGTTTGGTAAAAGTAATTCAAAGTTGAGGACTTTAATGATAAAATTCTATTTCTTCGAAGTTCAGAAAGTTGAGGATACTCTGAGTCAAGCTTCATATGCACTGTTTTAAATGTTTCTCAAGGTTTCTTTTCTTTGGAATTGCTCTACTTTTGTTGTATAATAAGCATATATATTTGTCTTTATGATTTATAAAGCAAAACTAGTGCTCCCATTCTTCATTAAAATTATAAGTGCATGCTCGCTTAGCTTTGTTCATCATGGGTTGTTACCGTCATCAGTTTGTAAGAGAGATATCTATAAGAAAACATCCTGGATGATCAGAGAGTAAACAATTCTAACAAGAAAGCATGATAGATTACAGACACACTATATACCGTGTAATTATTCATTTCACTGTCTATCTAAAAGTTGGAAATTCCGAGTATGTTTACAAATTAATTAAAAATGTCATTCACAGACAGAAAAGTAGACATATGTCTTGTTTTGATCCAAATCTTCTTGTCTGCACGTACTGGCAATTGTAATTATTGTAATTTGATTGTAAACATTATTGCAAGTTGTTGTCAGAGAGGTTACAGTTAAATGCATCAACCACACCACACTGTCAGGTCGGTCAGATTTTAGTTGGTTCCGCTCAACAATGAAATGTTTCAAGCAGTGGCAATGTATTACAGTGGCAGTTTGATGCATAGATGTAAAAATATATAATTTTAATACATATTATATAAACATTAACCAAAAACTACATACAAAGCAGAATAATTTAGCACAGGTGCCATGTTGCCAACCCCTGCTATACAATATTATAAGAAAAAGATCACAGGATAAGCAAAAAGAAAAATTAAATTCAATGGTGTAACAGCCCTAGTGGGCCAAGGCCTGCAAAACCCGAATTCTGGTTTCTTGACCGTGGGCCCCGGGGTGTGTAAGCATATGCCCTGAACAAGTGGTCAGCTTGTTGCAGGACCCCCAGTGTTTAGTCCCCAAGCGAATTTGGTACTCATTTTATTGACCCAAGTGATAGAAATCAAGGGATGAAAGGCTGAGTCGACCTCAGTATGAAGTTAGTATGGCCAAGATATTTTGTGTGCCCAAGCATATTGGTAACTTCTTTATGAATACCAGTATGTCTTTTTTATGACTTTAAAATCTGATGTGTACACCACATGACTTCCTTGTGTGGAATATTAAATTGTACACATTTTTCTTGCATTTCATTTAAACTTATTAGATTGAATTAAAGCTACTTCGCCGACACCGCATAAATCACAATAGAATAAATGCATTCTTTAAAATTCACTTTGTTTCCCAAAGCAACACTCTGGTGTTAGGTTCACCTAACAGTATTATATTTCGTTCATATTATAACTCAGAATGCACAAAATTTATATCATTTAAAGAATTATCTAATTGTTGCCACATGTTCTATTCAAATACTATAATAAGCCTAGAATGATGTATAAAAGAAATTAAGCAAACAAACAAAAAAAAAATAAATAAATAAATAAATAAATAAAAGACAGTTTTTCACAGACTATTGAGTATTTCTCATTCAATTAATTCAGTTTTCACTTCGCGACAAGGCAAAAATATTTAAAAACTCAAAATATCTGTATTAAAAATTACGAAGTAAATCTTAAATGCTTATTTCCTCGAAAAAATTCCAAAATGGATTAAGCATGATGTAAATAATAAATGAAGGTGTTATCTTTGTTGTTGCGAAACTAAGTGTCTCTAAATTGGCAACAAATCCGCTATCCTCCTGTTTCAAATGTAAACAATCGATGGCCGCCATAAAAAAAGGCTTAGCGGCACTTAAACAACTTTAAAATTGTTCATAATTCTAAACATATTGCATACAGATTTACTAAAGGCATAAGAACCTTAACTGGAAGATAAGAACAACATAATTCAATCATTTTTAAAAAAAAAATGTACAATTTACCAAACATATAAGAGTAAAGAAACTGAGATCACTGAGCCGGGGGGGTAACAGAGTGGATATATATATAAATATATTTATATATGTTTGATGCGGCCGATTGCAACCAAAATACGAGGTGTACATCTACATGTTATAGCTGTCCTATATACAAAATTTCAACGTTCTGAGGCTACTCGTTTTTGAGTTATGCAAGATACGTACGTACGCACGCACGCACATACGTTCGTACAGACACCACAAAAAATTCTCTTCAGAATTCATTTTAAAGCAGTTTTATAATTTTTTTGGAGGAAAAGAGTGTTTTATTCTGTCCTTACGTACATATATCACGGAAATACATCGTTAAATTGCATTTGAAAGAGGTCAAAATGGGATATTTTGGTGGAAATATGCTGCCTGAAACTTTTTGCGATTACAATACTTCCTTTTTACTTCATACAAGGAAGTAAAAAGGAATTTTACAGCTGCCTGAGAGATGGCAAAATGTCATGGAACAAAATCATACTTATGTGATTGAATGGAAGTTTCTTATGGTTTTATACTGCTTCCTTTTTTTTTTTTTTTTTTTTTTTATTATCAAAAACTCAGAACTTTTCAGATGACCTAATATTATGCAAAACATAAGCTCTTTAGCTTTTCTGCCATACTGCTTGGCAAAGAGTGACTTTCCAGAGTGCTGTCTTTCAACTTGACGTATCACTTACATATCATAATTTCTTTTCTAAATTGCATTACTTTATTTAACATACTGAGTGATTTAGAAGCAAAAAAGCACATCTTGATAAATTAAATCCTTATTTTATTTTTAATGATGTGTGTAATTGAAATCATTTAAAATATATGTAATAGCTATTCATATAATAATTTTATGATCAATTGGAGCATTATTGTAATTTGTTGTTGTAACTGCTATTGAAAATTGTTCTAACACCATATGTTATGCATTATTCAGTGCAGAATCATTTTTTTAAATTTTTCATTTTGATAGCCTCTAATATCATATTCATTGTTTAAGCTTGTTTTTTACATACATATGTGTGTGTGTGCTGTGCATGCTTACTGTGTGTAGATTAGATTTAATTTTTTATTAAAAATTGTTTAAATTAATAATTCTAGAAATCACAGGATAACAAGACCAAACTCTGAAATATCCTTGCTGTATCGGTTTCATGATGTCCCGAATCTTAATGACAAAAATGAAAGTTCGAAAGAATCTGAATTAATTTTCCAACATAAATTTCAAAGCTCGGATTCTAGGCAGGAAAAATTGATACTCACAAAAGTGAAAAAAGAAGAGAAAGATAATGGTAGCTTTAACTTGTTTCTGCCTGTATTAGAGGTAAGTAAAACTTAAAAAATCTTTCACATATATTACTTGGTGGCTAGATGTATTGAGGTAAATCTTAGAAATAGAAGTTTCTGTTCTTGATGCCGGAGGCAGCATGAACTGTGTTGTAAATATTACTCTTTGTCTTGACAGTGTAAGTCAGTATTTGTTACTTCAAACTGAGTTGCACAGGTCTGATTGACTTAGAATGTTGCATTGTCTTTGGTTGCCATATACCACTATGTCCAAACCATGGCTTTTGGGCTGCCCAAAGCAGGTACCAGTGTAGACCAAGAAGTCCACACTGATACCTGCAAAGCACAAAAGAAATGTCGAAACCTTACTCCGATGATACATATTACTGTTGCAATCAGGTTTCGATGATTCAGTGTGGATGAACAGGTTATTTGATAGTCTGAGTTAAAGCAAAATAAAATGCGTTTTGAGTGTAGTCATATCTTCTTTGGACCTGTGCACAAAGTGATTATTGACCCAGAGACAAATGTCTCACTGTAATGTCATGCATTATTTATGTCATCATAATTTGGCAGCATGTAGATTTGTGATCAACTATTTTCAAGAGGGAAGCACATTAAGAAAAAAATTAGAAAAAGAATATCAGATAAATACGTAGAAAATACCCTGAGAATGTCAACCACTTAAAATGAACCAGATATTTATGCATCATTTTCTCAAATTCAAGGGTAAATATCACATTAACTGCATGATTTCTTGTTACCTTTATAATTATAAACAAAATTTGTAATGAAATAAATATATTGTATAAAATGTGAAATATTGTGTCATAGTAATTCACTGTTGCTGGCATTATATTAAAAAAATATAAATTAATAGAGTATAAATTACTTAAATGTGTTTTAACATTCCTTCCCCCCAATTATCTATCCTTAGTGTTAGGAAGTGGTGGCTGACTTTTTGAATCAAATGAATCACTGTTTCACTTAAAATTGTTCTATGTATGTTTTTTCATATACAGTCAAAAGTCGTTAATTCGGACACCCATAATTCGGAATGATCTATAATCCGGACCTCAAAACTAAAAACTTTCTGCGCATGCGCCGCATTGACACATGCGCATAGGCGTTTACTCGTGCGCGTAAGACCTTTTACGACTGCGCGTGTGAGTGTGCGCAAGTGCAGAATACGTTTTCGCGTGCACATTTTATGTATAATGGACATATAAGCTAAAATTATATAATTATCTATTTCAGTTAATGTTGATGATTGCAGTGTTCCTTAATTTTCGAATTGGTTCCGGCTTATTATTTTTTGCAGATTGTAAGAGCAATTTTATAAAAGTAAGTTTAAACTTTCGATTATATCAAATAGAATTTCCAATATATATTTGTTAATATGTAAAGGATCTAAAGCGAAAGTATGTTTTGAAATCCGAAATCTGTTTATCAATTTCACGCTGCTCGGCGGGCCGCGTAATGAATTGGAAGTTGATCTGTCAGCACTATCCTTATCTTCAGCGCAGATGTTTTTATTTTATTTGGCTTATAATTCCTTACCAAATGTAGTATTTCATCTCGATATGCTCCCTCTTTGATATGATTTAAAACAAGTTCCTCATCATTATAATTCGCTTCCGATAGCGAAGAAAAAAGTGACAGAGGTTATTGAAAATGAAAAATTTTTTTCGATTGACAAATTAGTCGGTGTTCTCGACACAGCAATTATAGGACTTGAACAGCGGAATTTGTAACTGAACAAGAAATTATGTCTGTTCAATAGAATTAAAGAGAAAGTATTATCACATGAAAGAAGCAAAACTTAACAACTTACATTGAAAGAAATGTTTAATAAAGTAAACAAATAAATATAAGCTTTTTTTTTTTTGTAAATTTTGATACCCTTTAAAGATTAATAATTGTTCTTATTTCATAAATTACGGTTTCATATTTTAATTTTAGAATTTCTGCATGCCATCTTACGAGATTTAAACTGATGATCTATAATCCGGAATCGCCGAAGTCCCGACGAGTCCAGATTAACGACTTTTGACTGTATATAGCAAATTTGAGCAACATATATAGCATTGAGCAAATTTGGGCTAATGTGGTCAAACCGATACATTTCTCTCTTAGAAGTAAAATTCAAAAATTTCTTTCAAAGGTTGTACCTGAGCAAATCCAAAAATTTTCAATGAAACTTATGCAGTTGTCTGATTCACCTACTTAAGAGGTCACAAGCTGCCACTGATTTTAGAAATAATTAATTTGTATGGCCCAAAATATCTCATCTTCTTCCAGTGGGGCCCATAGAAGGTAAAAGGTTGGATACATGAAATCATGATAAATAGTGCTCAATAGATAGTATAATAGTACAAAGCTTATTTAATTGTACTATATGGCAGAAGAAATGTATTATAAAAGTAGTAAATATTGTATGCACTAATAGTTTGATAGTCATGGCAAGTGTAAGTAATGCTAAATTTTGCTATAAAGTCAGGGTTGGGTTTAGACTTGATAAGGTCCTAAGCTATTTGAGCTATGGCACCCTTTTTAAGTCTGTTATACTATATTTATACTATTAATTGTTTTTTTTGGGGGGGGAGGCAAGAAAGTGGGGGGCCCTAAGCTATAGCTTGTGTTGCTGATACGTAAATCCTGCACTGTATAAAGTTTGGTTGTTGTGGCACTATATTCTGGGATTGTTTCTTTTGTAATTGGATGATTTCTGTAAAACCTTATATAAATTTCTGGGTTAACATAGGCATTGTTAAGAAGGTGCAGGAACAATTCTGTATTATTGGACTGTTTTGTGCAAGCTGAAACGTATGAATTATGAAAGTTAATAGCTGACTGTAACCAAAATATCATGACAACAAATGTTATAGTGGGGCAAATTTTATTCAGTTTTATTATATAGCAATAAATATGCATCATATCGACAAATGGAATATTGTACACCTTCAGTGACTTGCTGTCTTTAAGAACATAAAGAAAGCCAAGTGAGTGCTATATGCCTGATTTTTCTTTTCTGTTAAAGGCCTACCAGCGGCCGAGCGGTAAAATCGCTGAACACTGGTAGTTCAGTCCGAGGTTCAAATCCCACAAACAGGCTGGCTGCATGGACGTTTTCGGGGTTTTCCCCGTGTTTAACGTGTATACGAGCCAGTTTCCTTTTGGGGTCTTTCAGTTCCTGAAGATCGAAATTATGAACTCTTAAATTTGTGTCGACATTCATGCTAATTTCTTGCTGCCTACACCAAGAAAATATTTCAGCATAGATCTATATCTTTATCAATATAATTATGTCCTATTTACAAATCAAGGTCTGTATTGTCATGGTTTGAAATTATGAGTATGGAGGAACTCAGCTAACTTTCATGAATTGAAAAACTTATTCTATGTTTACTTGTGAAATGAGTTCCTATTTGATTAATCTCAAATTTGTGCCTATCAGCTGGTCTGAAGGAAGAATGTAACCAAATTCTATCTTCTGCAAAGAAAATTCTGTAAAGCAGTAAAAGGGGGATTTTTTTGTCTCTCAGATACGTAGAATTTTGATGAAGTATCAAGAAAAAGAGGCAAATGATACAAAACATACAAGCCTCCCGTGCCCCACCCCTCCAAAAAAATTCTAGTAAGCAGTGCATTTGTAACTACAGAAAAGAAGTAGAGCATTCTCAGCTGCAAAAATAGCTTTTAAAGATCCATAGTTGCAATAATCAGGATGCTTGTGAAATCTTTGTTGAATGACCAAAGAACTGGGTTGAGAAATAAAGTTAGTTTTTATCTGTACTTCTTATAAAGTTTTTGAATAAATGACATCATGACCTTACTTTTCAATTCACCTTCATGCATTGGTATATATCTAGAAACTTAAAAAAATTGTCACATCATATGTATAGTGGTAAATATTTGCATTTTAAGTACACTGTTTTATATCCTTTATTGTTTTAAACTCTTAAATATTAATACACTCTTTCTTGACTGAAAATATTTGCTTTGATAGTAAATATGCCAGTTAATGAAAAATAATACCACACTGATTTAAAATCTAATGAAGTTTTGTTTTTAAATAGGTGATAAATCTGATAACCAAAAAGGTGCTAAAAATATTGCTAGGTGTTTCTAGAGAAAAATCACAAATAGCCTTTTTCACAAAAACTTAGACCAGGAACCCTTCTCTGGCAATGACGATTTTGTTATCTTACCTCAAAGAATCACACGATATATTCAGTAGATGCGACTTGAATCATCTATTTTATAGGCAGTGCTGTGCATGCTTCGATGCCAGTGCATCAGAAAAATTACCAGTCTTGTATAGTTCTCTTCATTCTTTTATATTTAGTATTAATATTTATAAAACTACAGATATTGTTGTTAAAATAATTTATGTATGTGTGAATATCAAAATTTATTTTTAGATGAAGAACTCTTACTTTTTTAGAACATCAAGTTTTAGACTAGTAGTATTCCAAATTTATACTTTATGTGCAGTAAAAGCTTAGCTATCGAACATTCATCTTAATAGAAAGCTAAAGCATCTCGAATATTTCTAAATTTTTGAATTTCTTCTAAAGAGGAAAGATTAAGGAAATGTAAGACTTGCAGCACCATCATAAAATACATAGTAATAACTATGACTATGAATACTACTACTTGATTTACCCCACTTACAACATCTAAAATGTGGACACATTAACATGGCTGTTTTTCAGAAGATATTGATTATCAGTTTTCGGCACCATTTTATCTATTGCATTGTTTTAAATTCATACTTTGAGCTAGACAGTCCTCATAGTAAGAGACATGGAAAGATATGAGAAGTTCCAAAGTTCATCACAGGTGTTGAGTATGTCTGTTGCAAGAATTGCTGTTTCCAATATATTTATCATGGACCATCATTCTCACAAATTTTAAAATTATGAGTTGCAATGTATGCTCATATTTTTTGTCTTGTAGAATGAAATCTAATAAAAAAATCATCAATTGTGGCATCAGATTGTTTTAAATTTTACATTAACTTTAGTACTTAGAGTCAGAAATTTTCCTTTGAAGTATGTATGATTGGCCAAATTATTAAACAACTATATAAATTATTCTCAATTTCCAGTTGTTTGTTAAACTGCTAACATTTCATTTGTTTATTATAATATTCTTTCAAATACTTACCAATGTTTTTCTTTAAATACAGGAAGATCATATAGATCCTAGTGATGTATTAAGGGGGTTTCACATTGAACCAGAAGCAAAAGAAGTTTCTTCTAAAACTGTGTGGTCCTCTAGATTAAGTGAAATGTCAATAGGAAAGAAGTCACAATGTTTTCTCCCACCAATTCACTCTGCAAATAGTCTTCCTACAAATGCAAATATAGTATGTACTAACTTGTGTAGTATGATTTGTAGTATTTTTGAGTGTTATAATTATACTGTCGAGTAGAGTTAAAGGTTGATCTTCATATGTAAACAAAGTAAGCTTTGATTTTTCAGAAACTTCATCATAGCAAATTTAAGGGTAATTTTTTTTTCTTATACGTAAATTTTGTACTTTCTGATTACCTGACTTCCCTCACAAAACCACTGCGAAACTCAGCAGATTTAAAAAATTTTTTTAAAGATAAATTCCTACTTTGAGTATATTTTCTGCTGTTTTTCAATATAAATTTTGAATTTAGGTCTTTAAATAATTTTTAAATTATGTCACATTACCAAGAATTTATTTGTTCAAAATTTTGCATTTTGTAGCTAGTTTGATTGCATTCAGCCCAACAAGCAAGCACGTAACATCAGCAATATATATATTTTTTATTGTTGTTTGTTTTTGTAGAGTTAGTAATCCAGCTGCACATGAACTCACAGAATTACTGTAGAAATTCTATTTAGGGGAATTGTTACTATTAGGGAGTTTGGTAAACATTGTAATTATTTATTTTTTCTGTCTAGTATGAAATTTACTTTCTTTTTTTTGGGGGGGGGCGAAGCTGTGTGTGTGCGAGTGTTCTCCATTGCAATTTGCTGATTTATTTGTTTGATATTAAAAATTAAAACACTTATGAACTTTTGGACCATCTTGCATAAATTTTGCCTTTTTTTTTTTTTTTTTTTTTTTTTTTTTTTAATAAAAAATTTCTTTTGAAAAATAGAGTATTTCTTCAAATATTCATGAGTGAATATTTGATTTTTTTATGAAGAATGAAAATTGTAGTAACATTTATAATATAAAAACTTTTTAAATACGGAATTTCTGCATAAAAATTCTTTCTAAGTCAGTTTAATAATCTGAATTTTTTTTTGAAATAAAAGCAAAAGAAATACATGATTTTTTTCTTCTTTCTTAATGAAGTTTCTTTGTATTAATCTTTCCGGGAAAATTTAATTCTATGACACCAAGAGAATGTTTATTTATAAAATTTTGCTCGTTTTCACAACTTATTCCAACAACCAGCCAGTTGTTGGCATTCATGTCTATGAAAGAGAAAGAGCGATGTCAAAAGACAATCACTTCCTAGGGAGGTTCCAGCTGTCCAGAAATACCCCCTGCTCAGAGGGGTTGTTCCCCAGATTGAAGTAACCTTCGATCTAGATGCAAATGGCATCTTACAAATCTCTGTGATGGAGGAGAGCTCTAGAAAATCATAGAGCATCTGCATCACCAATGATAAGGGCCATCTGTCGAAAGAGGAGATTGAGAGGATGCTGGAAGAGGCAAAGCAGTATGAAAAAGAACGTGCAGAGCAGAGAGAGAGAGTAGCTTCATGCAATGTCCTTGAAAGCTACATGTATAGCGTAAAGCAAGCAGCTGACTCTGCATCGGAAGACAAGCTATCTTCCTCAGATAAACTCAAAGCTAAGCAGACTTGTAATTCTGTACTTCAGTGGTTAGGCAAGCATTCAAAATATGTGAAAGATTACCTAACCTTTCAGGGAAGCCGGGGATGATTCAATTCATGGGAAGACCTCTAGAAGTCGACTGAAGTCGCGAGCTCCTCGTACCTCTTCTTTCAGAGGGTCCCACCGGAATCAAGCACCTGTGAGGTGGTCCACCTTCTGTGGCAATACTCATTAAACCTAGCATTAGACCTTGAAGTCTGATCCTCCCTCTTGTCTTATAATGTGACCGGGAAATGTATACTAGGCACCTCAATGTAGCTACGAGACCACTTGGGATTTCAAAAGTTTCATTCAAAATTTTTCTGTGCTTCCATGCCACTCAGTGGCGTGCAGCACAGGGGAGAAAGGTGAGCCTCCCTTTCCAAGTTTCACCAGTGTTTCTTGCCAGACAAATCTGACCATCGGTAATGATCTTTCCGCAGGAACCTTGTTACAACTTTTACTTCCACTAAATGATCTAGTTTGGTCATCCTTCCGGAACTCCTACATGACCCGAAAGCTGCTTCGAGAGCCAATCCAAAGACCTCACTAATTCATTCCATTGGTAGTAGCAACGGGCAGTGTGTACAAAGGGCAAGGATGTAATTAACATGAGCTTATGACTTGTGCTTACTGGGAATTCCTCATCAAAGGGAACACTTACAGGCCTTTATCCACAGCATGAAGGAGGTTCAACAGGTTCAGTCCTATAGTACATTAAAAGCACACGCTGCTTCCTTCAATGTAGCGTGCGTGCAGCCTCGGTCATCTAAGGACATCACAGACCTGTTATTGCACTGTCTCATGAAGCTTAATTTTTCCAGGAAAATTTTAATTCCATGACACTAAGAGAATATTTTTATAAAATTTTCCTCATTTTGTAAGTAATATATATATATATACAGTCAAAAGTCTTTAATCCGGACTCGTTGGGACTTCGGCGACTCCGGATTATAGATAATCAATTTAAATCTGGTAAGATGGCATGCAGAAATTATAAAATTAAAAATATGAAACCGTAATTTATGAAATAAAGAGCAATTATGATCTAAAGGGTATCAAAATTTACAAAAAAAAAAAAGCTTAATATTTATTTGTTTACTTTATTAAACATTTCTTTCAACGCGCGCATGCACAAAGCATACATTACACACAGTCGAAATTAGAAAATTGCAACCAAAAAACTATTTGATGTGCATTCATGATATTTATAATGACGAGGAATTTGATTTAAATTATATCAAAGACGGAGTACATCGAGATGAAATACTACATTTAATAAGGGATTATAAGCCGAATAAAATAAAAACCTTTTGTTTGATGGACATCGAAACATGCTTTGGCTTTGTAGTTCCTTTGGCAGCTCCAGAATCGGAAATTCTTTTTGACATAACCGAAAATTCAAGCTTACTTTTATAAAATTGCTCTAACGGTCTGCGAAAAATAAGCCAGATCCAATTCGAAGATTAAGGAACAACGCAATCTGAAACATTAACTGAAATAGATAATTAGATAATTTTAGCTGAGCTATATACCGTCCGTTATACATTAAACGTGCATACGTAAATGCATTATGCATTTATGCATGCGCAGAAAGTTTCTAGCTTTGAGGTCCGGATTATAGATCATTCTGGATTATGGATGCCCGTATTAACGACTTTTGACTGTACTCATTTTAGGGGTTTTATTTTCTTACAACTCAAAATTTTAATGAACTGATTATCTTTTGCCATCTAACTACCAACCTATTAATATGCGTTTCAAATCAAATAGTTTTTAGCTATGAGGCCAAAAAATTTTTTAAGATTTCACATGGTTTTCAGTTAACATAGCTTGTTACGGGAATTAATTAACTGATAAAATCAGTCAGTGTATTTGTGTTAATGTGTACCATAATTTATTGATATTGATTCCTGAACCACTGAATATTGTTGGAATTATAGTTATATGCACTTTGTTAAACAGGCCTTTTTCTGCAGTGTTATATCAAACTGAAAGCATACACTTAATAAATTTATTATACTTAATAATAAAAATCTGTAAATTATTTCTTTTGATGCTTTTGGCAAATTTTAACCATCATGATGATTTTAATAAGTATTATTGCTTAGTAAGTATCATTTAAGAAGTTTTTAACTCTGTATTCCCTGTAGAATTTCTTTACCAGTTTTTCCATATTGTTGTGTTGGTGTATTTAATTATGGCAAAGCACACTAGGGCTATCTGCCTAAGGGGAGGGATGCCTTTCGTGGAGGACTTTCTAAGGGGAAACTGGCTCGTATACACGTTACACATGGGGAAAACCACGAAAACACCCATGCATCCAGCCCGTTCGCGGGATTCGAACCTCGGACCGAACTACCAGTGTTCAGCGACATTACCGCTCGGCCGCTGGTGAGCTTTTTCCATATGGATTGACATAGAATCATGTATAATAACATAGAAACAGTTTTTTCTAAGCTAAATTCTTTAAGTCATTTGTTATGTCATAACTAATATTTTATTAGTTATTATTTCATTCTAACTTGAGAATTCCCATTTAGCTAAATTGCTTTTCAGTTTTTTAGATCTTAGTTCATATTTTATGTAATTAGTTCGTTTAAGCTGAAAATTCTGAAAATGCCTAAGGTTATTGTTCTTGATTTCCAAAAGCACTTTTAATTAAAATGGAATATTAGGATGGTTTTAACTATCAAGAATGATTGGAACACTTTATAGGAATTCTAGATGTAGCAAAGAAAACTTTTAAAGTATATATCCTCTGAAGATGTCTGCTTAAAGTGTTTAGATTTGTTACATCAATTATTATATTTTTCAATTCTGTTCAACTTTTAGGCAGTTCACTTTTTTTTTTTTTTTTTTTTTTTTTTTTTTCAGCCCAAAATGTTTTCACACACATTTATTTCTCAAATGAAATTTGTTTTTATTTTCAAGTAAGATAAAAATATGAAAGCAAACTTCTAAATTTAATTCACTATAACCTCTTTTATTTTCTATTTCATTTGGAAACTTCATCTATTGATCCTAAAAATAGCACTTAAGTCTAAAATGCGTCATTCAAATTAATCATGCGATCTTATGTAACCCTTAATGCAGGTGCCTCTTGACCAATCACCAAATTGCAAACCAAAATTTTTCTCTTTGTGTCCCCATCTTACATAACTTTGCACTTCAGCTTTGCTCTTTACTGTGATAAGATGCAATTCCACTGGCTTCCTTTCTATCTCAACAATATCAAAAATGTAAATCTTCCGTGGAAAGGCACGACTGGTGTACCAAGTGATTGTGGCTACAAATATCAATTGCAAATAAAAATGGAATTAAAACTGCCGCGACTGCCAAGTTCTTTAGATACGATGCAGTCAAAATTCTTCTTCAATATGGGTCTAAGCACTTTTCTTTGTGCTTTTAATATTTCTTATATATATATATATATATATAATATATACACACACACATACTGGTATCAAAATTAAGGGATAATGACAGAAATAAAATGTAACTAATGCTTAAAGAAAAATTATTACTAGAAATTCATACTAAAGCATTAGTTTACATAAATTGCAATGTTTGGTGGTTGATTATTCACAAAATATTGAAATTAAAATCAAATGTATGGAAATTGGAGAATGATGGAAAAATTAAGTCACCTCCTCGTAGAAAAAAATTTCTTTAATACGGTGTATGGTCACCTCAGACAGATATGCATACCACCTTGAACCATCTTGATTTCATAGACCTTACCAAACTGTTGATCAAGTGTTGTGGAATTGCACGACATTCTTCTAAAAGTGTACCTTTTTAGCTCCTGGAGGGTCCAGGGAGGAATATGGTAGATTGAAATTCGGCCTCCTAAGGCATCCCATGAGCTAGATGAGTAAAGTGACTAGTCCACTCCAGTAATATCTTCTGTTTGTAAGTATTCTGATACCACATATGCTTGATGAGGCCAAGCATGACATCCATTAGCAAAAACTTTGGGCCTACAGCATCCCTAAACAATCTGACTAGGGGTTCCAATACCTCGTCCACATATCTCCGGCTGGGTACAGAACCTCTTTGAAAGGTATACAGCTCAGTATAGCCATTTGTAATGACTCCTCCCCCAATTCATTAAACCATGGTCACGGAAAGGGGATATTTCATTGACAACAGAAGACAAGTTGCATGGTCTTTCCTCTCTCCAGATCTAAACACATCTAGAATCATTGTTCAGACTATATCTGGATTCACCAGTAAACAATACGTGGGCCCAGTCGTCTTGGATCCATTGACCATGACAATGGCACCAGTTTAAGCAAACCCCTCTGGAAATTGGAGTGAGTGGAACACAAACCATTTTTTTTTTTTTTTTTTTTTCTTTCATACAGTCCAACATCGTTAAACCTTCGTGCAGCAGTAGAACGGCTAATTTGTGTTCCTATGGCTGCCTGAAAGTTTAAAACCAGATCTCTTGTAGTCGCTTTGTGGTTTCTTCAAGCCCACAATGACAGAAAATTAACTTCTGTTGCAGTTGTTGCTCTTTTTCACCCTTGACCAGGCTGTCTATTAACTAATCCAGTGCTTAAAAAGCAGCTCCAAACTCTTGATATGACACTTTGAGGGATATTCTAATCTGGAGACCTCCATTTATGTTTGACCTTCCTCAATTCTACCAATTTTCATCACTTTGAACCTTCATTTTACATGATGCCTTTGAGCCATAACTACTGAATAGTAATCACTGTCAGAAATCGCATTCGCTTTAAGTAACACTACAGATTGGAATTCCGACATGCGTCCATTACACACCACAATATCAGTCACCAAATTTGCATGCATATTTCCAGCTATAACGTATGCACGGAAGTGCAATTTTGTCTTCAGTTTTGTGTTAATTAACATAAATAATTACAGCATTGGGCATTGGTTACAACATTAACTTAGTGAGCATATTTTTTCTCATTATCCTTAATTTTGATGGCCAATATATATATTAATGTGTTACTTAATTTGCTTTTCCAGCATAAAGATGTATTCACATGTTATGGAAATGATGTAAAAAATGAAAAAATTAAAGATACTGGGCCTGATCTATATATGCAGGGATGTCCTATTTCTAGACCAAATACTTCCACATCTAAAAAAGTAAGTCTGATTTTAAAATATTTTAAAATTATTTCTGTTCAGATGGTGTATAATAAAGTTCTGATTTATGATTTGCAGGGAGTGAAAAGTCGCAGAATTTCTCATGAAGATGCTTCTGTAATTAACAGTGAGTTCAAAACAATTTAACACTTTTACTTAATTAATGGTGTTTTATTAAAATTTTAATGTTCAGTAACCAACATAATTCTTATTATCAGAGCATATGAACTGTATTTTTTAAATTCACTAAATAAATTTCTAAAGTTTTAAATAATTTAATGCTCTTAATATATGCACACACACACTGTTTTTTATACATGATTATAATTTTCTTTTTTATAATTCCATATATAGCTGTGTTTTACAGGTTTAATTCCAAATAACAGCATGTTGTTATTGAAAATAATGTGAGAATGTTTTTTCTGCAGTTGCTGTTCCTAAGATTATGAGTCAAATCAAACAATCAGACAGCAAAAAATAACTTTAAATTTCCTATTTTAAAGTAACAAACTAGTAGATAGGTAAGAAAATGAACGTAATTTTTATAAATTAAGTTTCTAGTAGCTTTTAAACTTTACTGTTATAAGAACTATTATATTGTGTCTTCAAATCTGAATTAATCCTAAATTATTGTTACATTTGTTTGAGGTTTCTGTGTCTTCTTATATATATATAAGAAGGATGTCAAGAATAAAGCAGGCCAAAGGAGAAAGAAGATTCAGTTCACTAATAAATAAACAAGAAGTAATTTATATTATGTACAAAATTTTATTTGCAATTCAAAACAGAAAGTTAAAGAAAATTTAAGAAATCAAGCATCTAATGATATGATATTCTATTACAGTTATATGTAATGTTCTTCTGTTTCACTTATTTCTTAACCAAACCATAAGTAAACTGTTTTCAAATAGTAAATGATAGAGAAACAAAGTTGCTACTTGTGTGGAATATCTTGCCTTGAAAGTGAATGTGGAAGCAGTGAAATGAGAGAATCAGAGGAGCAAAATTTTGGCTGTGAACCATGAAATAGCATGCAAACATTCTTTTATGGAAGATTTCCTTGACTATAACCATACATGTCTCAGGCTATATTGAATACATTAGCATTGTTTTCTGATGAGTGTTGCTTTAATACAAGAGTATAGTCGTGATTACGTGTACATTAGACACTACTGTGGTACATCCTTTTCCATTTAACTTGTTAGATTGTCATACTGGATGAACAGTAGGTATGGAGTCACATTGCATGTGATCCTTCCTGCCATAAACTACAGTTATTTTCAACAACCATTCTTTGCAGGAAAGCTGAAGAGGCTGAGGTCATACCCTTATTTCAACACACTCTTGGCACTATATTGCAACAAGCTGATACCTGACTACACTCTGTCTGGAAAATCCAAAATCTTCTTCACAATATAGCATAGGGGTTATCAGCTTTCATAGCTTAAAGGAAGAATGCATCAGCCTGACTCTACCTGCTTTCTGTTGCACTCTTAAAAATAATCTAAATCTAAATAAATGTATATGTATTTTTTAAGTTTAGGGAAGGAAGGGTGGAATGATTTCATAGCAATGGTGAAAGGGGTACATGGGACAAAAAAAGTTGAGAACCACTGGTATAGCAGATACTGCTTCTTTTGTGGCCTACTCTTTCACGAGATATATTGCCTATTGAACATATGACAAGTTTATGCTGTACTTTCCTTAGTCAGTACCAGTGAATATGGAGTTGGATCAAAGACTTTGGGAGGCCTTGGTTGTACCTCAGGAACACATGAGTTGGCTCTTTGATTTGAAGCCCTGATATACAAAAGCTTTTTTTCCCCCGCTGGTAGCAGCTTCACAAAATGTTGACTTTATACCAATAGAATAGTTGCATTACCATTAGTAATACATATCTTAAATTTATTTCCAATCTGTTGGTGTTGCAGTTCTCACAAACATAATTGTATTTTATGCTGGTTTTAATTAGTGTGCATTTACATGTTTAATTAGTTTATTTGTATAATTGTAATTTGTATGTGCTACTTAGATGGGATAGTGGTTAGTGCTTCTGACTGCCGTACCAAAGGGCCTAGATTCTAATCCCGGAGATACTAAGGGGAAGGATGCCTTCCTGAAGGACTTTCTAATGGAAACTGGCTCGTATACACTTTACATATAGGGGAAATCATGAAAACACCCATGCAGCGAGCACGTTTGTGGGATTCAAACCTGACTGAATCCTGAGAAGGCATGGTGTTTATAAATGTATAGCATGTTTATAAATGTATAGCATTTATGTGGCAAATAGGACTTGAAATATATGGTGAGCTGAAATCCTCTTAAGAGGTTGGTTGGTAAGAGACCTCAGAACGCTTCCCACCGTAGATGTTATCCATTGGAATTCTGTCTGGGATGGAAGTTTAGCAGTTAGCAAGCCCTGATAGATGCACAGGTGCTGCTTTTCCTTAAACCCGTGCTTGTAATTTGTACGTGTTTGAGATATTGTATTGAGTGTATAGATGTTGAGATATCACATCAAGTGGATTATTGGACAAATGCATTGAAAAATATGTCAGACATTAAGAGAGAGGACTTATTGCCAGCTCAGTGACTTTCTGTCATTATCAGAAGCATGCCTTGGAGTTCATAAGATAATTCTGAGGGATTTTAGCAGCATATTTGAATTATCCTCTTCTTTTAGCTTACACTTATAATAAAACTATAAAAGGTTGGGAAGAACTGTTAAAAAAATGGTTGTTTTGGTGCAAATAACTTGCACAATTTGGAATCTGATAGTAAGTTTTTGTCATCCTGAATTTTAGTAAATTAACTGTGTTCTGGCACAAAAAGATAATGCAAGACCACATGTGTCTGCATTCACTGGCTGGATTCTGTATGGACTCAAATGGGATCTTTTGCCACACCATATAGTCCAGACATCGCTTCTTCGGACTTCTACCTTTTTCACACCTGCAGCTATATCTTGCTGGTGCTATCTTCCATTTGGCACAGGATGTCCAAAATGAGGTTGATCTGTTTTTGGACTCGTGGCCACCAAGTTTCTGGGCCGAAGGCTTTGAAAATTACCTAAGAGTTGGCGGAAAATCATAGATTTGGGTGGTGATTACTACCCACACTAAAGGTACTCCTTTCATGTATTTTTTTCTAACTTTATTAAAAAATGTTTTTTGGCGGAAAACTTTCATTACAACCAGATAGATCTGCAATAATAAGTTTTCTATTCCCAATCTGTTATGGGAGATTGAGTACAAATTGACCATTATGCAGCAAAATGTAATATTACAATTGAGCTATTAAACTATTTTATGAATTTAAAATGATAGGCTTTTATATTCTTCTTTATCTCAAATCAAATTATGCACAATTATAGCATAATTCTAGTAATAAATGTATTATTTAATAATATCTATGAAAGCTTTTAATTCATAAATTGCAATCTGCTTTTTTCAAATTTTTGCTGTTATAATCATTTTATATTTATAGAGGAATCCATTCAAGAGAATCCTGCCTTGAATTTCCAGAGCAATTTGAGTTTTTCTCCCCATATGGTAAGAAAATTAGATGAAGAAGATAAACCTTTAACATTATTTCCTATTGTTACCTCATTGGTGCCAAGTAAAGACAAAAACTGCAGCAGTGTCAGAAAAGGTAATCATTTTATTGGTCTGTGTCATAATTTCGATTACTAGGGAAGCAATTTTTGTCATACTTATTAATTATAGATCTTTGCGATAACTTCAATTAAGTCTTTATTGATAAAATATACTTGTAAAAAATATGATACTAGGATCAGAAACTTCATTAGACTAGTTATTAAGAAGAAAAAGTTTTCTGCTAGCCTTTTTACTAAGCTTAATAATACATGATACAGATATATTTGAAAGCTGAAGTTTCTGTGTTATATGTAGGGTTCTCATATACCTGGTCAATCCTGGGGAAAGTCAGGAAAATGAAAAAGGGTCAATGAAAATTTGCATCTTTTTTCTAAAATCCAAGGAAGTTAAAAAGAAGATATCAGTCTTCTCAGATAATAAAAAGTTAACATCTTTAATAACTTTAAAAAATGTATTTAAGAAAGGGCAAATAAAGAATTTCTGCAAGTTTTTGTTTTTCTTCCACAACATATTTTACTCAGCTTAAATATTAGAAAATCAACTGCACTATTACTCCTTTCTGTAGAAATGGAATTGCCCTGAAATATTAATAATACAACTTAGAAGTCAGAATACTGTTAAAGTATTTAATATGAAATTATTAAGCAAAATATTTGTTATGAATGAAGTATTATTGTTTAAATTTATTTGCAGTTGAACAGTTTTTCTCAGAATTTTATATTTTTTAAAAGCCTTACTTATTTTTTGAATGGTTTAGATGCATGTTCCGTATTTCTTTTATTTTCTTTACAGCAATGAGTAAGATAAGTTTTTATATTGTTTTATCTATTTCATTGTATTTTATTATAAAGCAGTAAAATATTTATTTACTCATATTTAATTTGATAACTAGCTCATGGTGCTTGCTCAGAACATTATTTCATTTAATCACGGAAAGACAGGAAAACTAAAAACTGAATTCTAGTGAGACTGCTAGAAATTACCTGTAAAAAAATAATGAATAAATAAATAAATTCAGTATCACTTACATTTTTTTGTATAGGTGTACAAACATATTCAAGGTGTTTCAACAAGATTGTGACAAAAAATTTTTGTGAATGATTGATCAAAGACCTATTGTGTGAAGACCATTTTAAAAAATCCAGTTATAATATGCAGAAGCTGCTGTGGAGGAAAATATCAAAGTTCTAAGATTAAACCATCATCACTTGCTAAAAAAGGTCAAAAGTATCTTCTTGGAGACCATATAAAAGTTTATTGTGTTATATAAAAAAATAGTTTGAATTTTAGCATTTCAACAAAAAGGAAATCAATCTTATTTGAGAAAGGAAAATAAGTTTAGAGATTTAATTACATATTTAAAAATATGGCCTATGCGAGTTAAGTTTCTTACGAGGCGTATTCGGAAACAAAGTACCATTTTGGAAAAAAAAAAAAAGTAAAACAATTTTTTCAAATCCAATTTTATTTTGACATGAAAATACATGTCTTAAACTATTTTTCAACATAGTTTCTGCCAGTGATCAAACACTTGTCATAGCGGGTGACCATTTTTTTGTATACCATCGTCATAGAAACTTCCCACCAGTTTCGATAATTACGACTCCACAGCACTTTTCGTGTCATCATCAGATCCAAAGCGATTGCCACCAAGCTCGCGCTTCATGTGCAGGAAAAAGTGATAGTCGGACGGCGCCAAGTCTGGACTGTACGGCGGGTGATCGAACTGCTCCCAATGAAACTGTCGAATTAACGATTGAGTGACACCAGCAGTATGGGGCCAAGCATTGTCATGGAGCAACACAATTCCTTTACTGAGCATTCCTCTTCGTTTGTTTTGAATCTCACACCTTAGTTTTGTTTAAGTCTCACAATATTATGCCGCATTAATGGTTTCACCTCTGGGAAGAAATTCAGTAAGCATCCTATCCCAGAAGACAGTGCACATGATTTTTTGTGATGACATTGTCACTTTGAACTTTTGTTTTTTCGGAGAATGAGTGTGTCTCCACTCCATCGATTGTTGTTTCGATTCTGGTGTGAAATGACACACCCAAGTTTCATCACCTGTTATAATTTGGTTTAAAAAGATTTCTCCCTCATCACTGTACCGCGTGAGAAATGTCAGGGCACTACCAAGTCGCTTTGTTTTGTGAACATCAGTGAGCGTTTTTGGAACCATCGGGAACACAGTTGCGATAATTCAAGCGGTCAGACACAATTTCAAAACAAAACAGTACGTGAAATTTTGTGGAAATGCCTCTGAAAGAGTTGTCATTGTGAAGCGTCTGTTCTCGTGAATTGCTTCATCAAAACTTTCCTTACCAAATCCAAAATCAAATCGGTTGACAACAGGAGGCCGACCACTCCGAGCCTCGCCGTGGACATTGTTCGACCTGCATTAAACATTCTTACCCACTTTCTCACAATTCCATCACTTATCACGTATTCACCGTAAACTTCTGTCACTTGACGAGAAAAATTTCGGCCGGTTTAACATTTCTCGCGTTCAAAATTTAATCACGGCATGATCTCACAGTCAGCGGGAGAACTAATGTTAAACATTTTGAATTTTGCACAGCAAACTGAAAACACACATAGAGCAACCAAAATAGCGACAATTGAAAGTCAGTGAACAAGAAAGACTAATGCGCATGCGTGGGACGCCTACCACAGTGCTGTGACGGCGCTAGAATGAAACGGTACTTAGTTTCCAAATATGTTACGTAAAAGATCTTAAAATGTTACATATCACATATTTATAAGTAAATATTTTTCTGTTATGCCATTTAATACAGTTAATTGGATTTATTACGATACTTAATTTGTCAGTAACTAAATGCTTATTTAAATACTTTTAAGTCAAGGTAAGGCTCTTTTAGTTTATTTTAACAAAAGATAAATACAGTTTGATTAATGAGTATTAGCCTGAAGGAAAATGAAGAAATCACTTAAATAACTACAATCATAGCTTTTATAATAAAACAGTAATATCAAGTCATTATTTTCTTTTATGTAGGAGTTTCTTGTGCAGTAGTTTATAACACTTGAATATGCAAAGTAATAAATTTTACTTATGAATTCAATTACTTGTATGTAAATAAAACTGCATTCATGAAAGAATCATAACTGTATTAAAAAACTGAAGTTTTCAAACTGTTGCTTTTAAGTACTTTATGCATTTAAAAGGAAAATTAGATTTGCTCATATATTTATTTGGTATATTATCATTTTAGGTATTCTAAATGCTTTTGTTGGTGGAAGGAAGAGGTGACAGCCAACATTATTTGTAAATGTACATAGAAAACGCCAAACTATTTTTTGTATTTATTTCATTGTGAATTACTATGTAAATTTAAATAAATTTTTAATATATTCATTAAATGTCTCATGATTTCATATATGTTCCATAATATAAAAAATTTCATGAAAATATGGAACAACTGTTTTACTTAAACTGGGATAGAGCAGTTTTGGATAACCCTTTTTTTTATCTCTCCATTAAAAAAGAAAAGAAAAGGCAGGTGTTTCCACACTATATATTTAATAATAACTTTTTGAAATATGTGTAAAATTAAAAAAAAATATTCAGAATTTTCATTTTAATCTTTAATCTTATGTGGAGATTTTAGTGAGATTTCCATATTTTAAATGTGTAATTTTTTTTTACCTAAATAATGAAACAATAACAAAACTATGATTAAAATATGATTATTAATATTAGAAGAATTATTTATTATCACATAATCTGTTAAAAGTGTCCATCTTTCTCATGGAGACACTTATTTGCCTGTTTTCGGATACATGTTTCAGCATATTTAAATCAACATGTTAATTTTTGTCCTGATCATGAATGATTTGTAATTTAATTTTATGCTATTTTATACTCCTTTTATATGGCAATAATGGAACTGATAAGTAATGATTCTTCACAATAAGTGAAATGTGCATGACATCATCCTTACCATGCTGTGAAATTTACATGTTAGGCTGAGGGACAGCAATTCAAGCCATAGTGACATCTGCAGGAAATTCCTATATTCTGCTTACTCTTTCAATGCATTATGGTTTTGTATATTACAACAGTGGCAAAGTGATAGTATGTTTGTAAATCGATAGGAAAAACTGCATAGTGTATAACAGTGGTTTCAAACTGGTGGCAAGCAATTTTAAATAAGATGTTAATATTAGGAGAATTATTTATTATTATATAATGCATTAAAAGTGCCAACCTTTCTTGCTTGTTTTCTGATACATGTTTCACAATATGTCAATCAATATGTTGATTTTTGTTCTGATATTTGCTTAACAATTGTGGAATGATTTGTAGTTTAATTTTCTAGCATTTTGCACTCCCTTTATATGGTAGTAATAGAACTGATAAGCCCTGATTCTTCAAACATGCCCTTATTTATATTCTTGTGCATGACATTAATTTTACTGTGCTGTAAAATTGACATATTAGCTCAGAAACAGCAGTTCGAGGCTATAGTGACATCATTTGCAGAAAACTCCTATATTGTGCTTGCTGTTTGAATGCAGTTATGGTTTCGCAACAGTGAAATTTCAATATTATGCAAGCAGCAGGAGGGGGAAAAAACTTAAGTTCTTGTAGTTAACACAAGGCTTATCAAATTAGATATAGCAAAAATTCATTTCACAGTTGACTGTAGTATAATATTAGGAGAATAGAAAAGCTCTAGCATACATTAGAGTGATCATTACATTCCAGTTGAGTTCAAAGGTAGCGTTAGCACACGACCAAAAGCACACATGTAATGCATATAACAGCACTCTGACAGGTATGCAAAAGAAGATAAAGAATTTAAAAGACATCTCAGGAAATGACAATTAAAAATATAAATAACATTAGAGACATGGACCAGAGCTTATATGCATGATTGTGGTTGAATGAAAAGAAATAGAATGTGACTGGGTCAAGGTGGAATGTCAGTACAATCAGTAAATTTAGTTTATCAGCTGAGAAGTTGTGGAACATTCTCATCCCTCCCATAAGCTAATACTTCTGATACATAATTTCCTGAAGTCAGTTACTACTTGTTTAGCTGGATACACGGTGGTACTCAGTCCATATTGTGTAAAGATGAAGACAAACTAAGATTACAACTTATAAAATCTGTTTATGTGTGCTTTTTTATTATTTGGTTAATATTATATCAATACCTATCATTTAAAACTGTGTGTAATATTTGAGTGTTGCCTTCATGTGAAAATTCATCTTGGTGAATTAAAATTGTAAATAAAATTAAAATTAGACAGGCTAACATTATATCAATACCTATCATTTAAAATTGTGCATAAGTTTTGAGTGTTGTCTTCATGTGAAAATTCATCTTGGTGAATTATAATAGTGATTTTAATTAAGAGATTAAACTTCAAATCAGGTCTTTAACGAAGAATACAGGAAAAATAAGAGGACATGTTTTTCAGTATAAATGGAAAATTATGTACTTTGTGATGGTATGCGCAGTCAAAATTGTATGTTTTATTTATAAAGAGGGAAGTTCAAAAAGATATAAGTTCCAAAAGAATGCAAATTACATTGACATCAAGAATTTTAATTGTTGGAAGGCAGTTTGAAGAAAGAAGTTACAGTGTCTGAAATCTAGCTTATGACAACAATTTCTTTTACTGGAGGATTTGTTAATAATTATTTGTTTAAATCTGCTAAACTTTTGTGTTCTGACAGACAACAAATACTTAAAAATATTAGCGTGTCAGCCAGCATGATAGTGACAGGTATTAACAAAATCGCTAGTTATTTATGGTGTTTATTAAGAAAAAAGTACAGATTTTGCAGCATTCTCAGTAGCAGTTGATGAGAGTACTCAGATTACAGATATGGAAGCAATTTGAAATTTTTGTACGAGGTGTTTCTGATAAATTTGAAGCAGTTGAGAAATTACTGGAAATAATTCCTAAAGAATAACTGTAGCACAGAATATTTTTTATGAAATAAAAAACTGTTACAGAAAAATATAAATGATGTTTGGATAAAATTGTTGGATTTGCAAGTAATAGTGCAGCTTCTGTCATTAGTAAAACTATGGAATAGAGGCAGAATTAAGAAATACAGCGAAAGAAAAAAAGTTTCAGAATATGCTTTGCACTATATACTGCATTATTCGTTAATAAGCCTTCTTTAATAATTCATCAATGC